TAAAGTTAATATTTTTGTATTTTTTATATAAATTAATTGTAAAATAATATATTTATTAAATCATTATGATATTGAATTATTAATTTAGTAAGTCATTGTGATTTATCTGAATAAAAATATAATAATGATTAATTGATAATGAGTTTGCAAATAGAAGAAATCTTCACTATTCTGCCATAGTTCCATACAAAATATTTTAGAATTTGAGTGAAAATATATAATAAATCTTGAAGATAGATCATCTTTAAGCCAATAATTGTACTTTTAGATAGAAAAAAAAAAGAGTAAAAGTTTATTGTCTAATATAAAAATTCAAAAAAATTATATTTTTAAATTAAAAAAGACAAAATTTGTGTATTTAGTTCAACCTATTCTCATAGTCTAAGAGGATGATTTTTCTATATATTTGGAAAAATATATTCAAAATTTTAAAATCGATTTGTGAATTGTTGAATACATTCATGGAAAAAAAAAATTTATTAAAAAAGTTAAAATATTTAATAATAATCACATCATAAATGTGCACCAGCTCTTCAAGTCAAGTAGTAATTTGTCATCTTGTGGTGCATTTTCCCTCTTTTTTACGAGTTTGAACCTACCCTTAATAAATTGTTAAAAAAAAAAAAATACATCATAAATGTGATAAAATTAAAATATATTAATTGAATAGGTCGTTTTAGGGGGCTCCCCCTAAACTTCATAAAAAAAATAGTTAAGTTTAGTAGCTTTTATTTTTATTATTTCTAATTTTATTTATTTCATAGTATTTTCATTATTTTTTAGTTTTCTTTTTGTTGAAGGTTACATTTGGTGATGAAAAAAAAATAAATATCAAGATATCTTAACATTAAAAATGTCAAAATATCCACCTCTAATTATTAAATAAGTGGAGTATAGCATGAGTTTTAATTTTAACAAATTCATCATTTAATTATTTTTAAATATTTTAATATTTTTAATATCAAGACGTCTTAATTTTTTTTTCTTTTAGTGATAATAAAAATGTGAGAAAAGTAAAGATAATATGAAAATAAAGAAAAATAAATATTAATAACAAATGTTTATTATCATTGTTTCACAAAATGTTTGTTTATTGCAATATCGTTTTACTTTATGTTTTTTCTCCATCAGTATTCTTTTATCCAATTTATATCATTGCTATCTTCTTCTTTTTTTTTTTAATTGAACACTCCATTGTTTGAATGACATATCAAATCTTTATTAATTTAAAGTTGAATCTCTTTAAATCTAATAAGTAAATAAATTCTTTTAATACCTATTTCTTCATTTATAAAATTTAAATTTAATATTTTATTTAAAAAAATTAAATTTTTTTCACTCAACATATCATTAAAATTATTGTTATCTTTCAATTGACCACATATG